ATATATATATATATATATATATATATATATATATATATATATATATATATATATATATAATGTCGTGCCGAATAGGTAAAACTGGTCAGTTAGCAAGAACTCATTTAAAATTAAGTCCTTTCTAAAAAAATTCTCTTCTACGTTTAAAGATTTATATTTTTCATTTATGTTAATGTAAAATTTAAGTTTTGTACCAAAAGAATCTTAGAAAACTTACCTAACCTTATTATAACAAGCGCAATTTAATTTAGCCCAGTCCAGCTAAATATATTTTAGATAAGTTTACAATAATTTAATAATAAACAAACACAATGAAATATACTTTTATCGTTAAGTTCAGAATAAATTCTGCGAAATTATTACATATATAAATTTTCGCCTGCCTTATTCGGCAAGAAGAGAGTTGCTATTTAAGCCAAAATCGCAAGTTTTACCTATTCGGCACGACATCTCTCCCTCTCTCTCTCTCATTCTCATATATATATATATATATATATATATATATATATATATATATATATATATATATATATATATATATATATATATATATATATATATATATATACACAAGGGGGCATGCATGCATGCCGCCTTGTACGACAAGGGACAAGCTGTGTACGGTGCTATCCCTAGATCCGTGTCTCAAGTCTTGAGCTGCTTCCCTCCCAGGCAATACGTTGTCTCAAGCCTCCTCTTCCCTTGCACCCACCTGTATTACTTCCCTGAACGTTATAACCATTTAACCCGCCGTTTGAAACTTGTCCAAATCTAATTGGAGTATCTCCCCTTCGTCCTCTGCTCTTGTTTTAATTAACTTGGCATCGTCCGCAAACATCGACACACACGAGTTTCTTCCCCTCGGTACGTTTGTTATCTCTGCCCCTTCTCTTATCTCGACCCTCTCTACGTTTTGTCTTTCAGGTAAGTCTTTATCCACTGGAGCACCCTGGGCGAAACGTTGCTGTGGTAATAGAGGTTTCCCCTGCTACAGTTTCATTTTCTTCATCGTCATTCCTGGCTTGTACGAAGATGGTAACACAAGATGTAGAGAAATTTTTTTATTCAGACAATGTTGCCTCAGCGAAGGCTGGTTCAGCATCTCGTGTCTTGGTCTACATGTGTGCGGTATGCCATTTCATGGCTCCCAGTTCCTATCTTCATGATAACACTCTTGCTACAATTCTCTTCCCTGCCTGACCCGTATCACTCTATCAGATGTCTGTGATCTTCTCATTGTGTCGTCAACATTCGTGTGTCTGTGGTTTATAACAAATGTGTCTGAATGTCTGTGGATCTGAACGTCTGAATGTTCGTAGGTCTGAACGTCTATGGGTTCTTGAGTCTGTGTTTGTACGTCCGTGTGACTGAACGTCTGTACGTCCGGTGGGTTTTCTAATTCGCCCGTGTACCCATAGGCTTGTGAGTGTGTGTGAAGGTTCGTGGTTCTCTGAGTCTTTTCTCCTTGAATCAGAGCGTCGTTGACTATCTCTATGACTGTGACTCTGACTTCTTACCATGGAAACTAGACTCGTCCCTATCATGGGGACTAGACTCATCCCTACCATGGGGACTAGACTCATCCCTACCATAGGGACTAGACTCGCCCCTGCCATGGGGACTAGACTCGTCCCTACCATGGGGACTAGACTCGCCCCTGTCATGGGGACTAGACTCGTCCCTACCATGGGGACTAGACTCGCCCCTGCCATGGGGACTAGACTCATCCCTACCATGGGGACTAGACTCGCCCCTGCCATGGGGACTAGACTCGTCCCTACCATGGGGACTAGACTCGCCCCCGCCAGACTAGAGAAATCATTGAAGCCAAACCGAGATGAGAGAAACAGAGTAATTGAGAGAGTTCATTTTTCTCATTAGCTGGTTGATTGGCTCTGTGTGTGTGTCTCGCCCGGGCCGCTCATAACACGAACTACGTTTTATTTGCTCCCTCGAACTAGCATCGCCTCCAGATGTTTGTATACATGCTGGATATTTTCTCGCTGCGCCGGGGAATACTATCACCGCTCAATGGCACAGCACCGGCGGAAAGCAACACGCTCAATGTGGAGCAAGTCTTGTACCTAATGAAATGTAAACAGCATGCTCGCTCCTGATTGGAAGGAGAGGGTACTTACAAGGACCAATGAAGGTCCCCCTCCCTCCCTCGCCTCCGCCTGTAATGTAACATTTGCCCTTAGGAGTCATCTTGTTTTACAAATAACACACTGATACCCGCGCATCTGTGATTAATCTACGAATCGGCGAGAGGGTCTTTGGCTGTGTGGGCAAGAGTCGGGCGAGAATGGCACCTAGAGGGTCATGTCAGAGGGGTCAGAGTGGCAGGCGTCTCCCCGTGTCTCATACACCTCTCCAACGCTAGCGACTCCTCCTCGACTTTTAATCCTAGTCAGTATGAAGTGGACCAAGTTAATTTTTGAGAAGTGTTTTAATAGTCAACACTCTTTCATTAAAAACTGTTTGTATGGCCCTTCACACGTAAAAACCTAGGCAACTTGCTAATTGAGTGAGCAAACTAAAGGCCCGTGCTGAGGACTGGGGATTGTGCCCTGCGACGTCTTGGTCTCCACTCCCTCCCTCACTCACACAATGCCGAGGAGTCAATGCTTTTTACATCATTAGCTTCTGAGCCGGGCAATTGTGCCGGAATGGGCCGTCACCGGAGTGCCAACGAGTGGCAATGTGCGCCAGGCAGAGTGTGAAAGTAAGAGCCCAATGTGAGAAACGCTTAATAAGGTGGCGGTGGAGAGTTTGTTGTGCTCGTGGAGGGCACTCTACCTGCCTAGGCTCGAGGCCTCTCACCGCTGCCCCGCCTCAACGCTATATGAAAGTCCTTTTACCAGGCACACAATGACGCATTCTCACGGCCCACATTCATACCTAACCTGAGTGTTTTTTCCCCTAATTTATCCCCACGGATAATATATTTTCTCCCCTCTCTCTCTCTCTCCATCTCTAAATTACCCCCTGCCCCCACACCACCCACAGTTTATTCATTAAAAAAAAGGCTTCTCTCACTCCCTTCCCCTCCCATCCGAGTCCATCTTTAATATATGTTTTCACACTTAGGCTACAAACACGATAAATAAATGAAGCAAATGCAAGAGCTGCGTCCCAAGCCTGATATATGACTCTAATAGACAATTAATTTTATTAACGGGTATATTGTGAAGGCTTGATTTTTTTCCTCTCGCCGCTGCTATTACTGGTAGTCGAAGTCTTTCCACTGTAACCGTGATGGTAGTAATAGCCCAGATGCTGTTGTTGTGGTGGTAGTAACAGCCGGATGTTGTTACCGTGGTGGTAGTAACAGCCGGATGTTGTTACCGTGGTGGTAGTAACAGCCGGATGTTGTTACCGTGGTGGTAGTAACAGCCGGATGTTGTTACTGTGGTGGTAGTAACAGCCGGATGTTGTTACCGTGGTGGTAGTAACAGCCGGATGTTGTTACCGTGGTGGTAGTAACAGCCGGATGTTGTTACCGTGGTGGTAGTAACAGCCGGCTGTTGTTACCGTGGTGGTAGTAACAGCCGGATGTTGTTACCGTGGTGGTAGTAACAGCCGGATGTTGTTACCGTGGTGGTAGTAACAGCCGGATGTTGTTACCGTGGTGGTAGTAACAGCCGGATGTTGTTACCGTGGTGGTAGTAACAGCCGGATGTTGTTACCGTGGTGGTAGTAACAGCCGGATGTTGTTTTCAAGGTTGTTGATGATGACTTCTGGTTCCACCTGCTCTTCCCTGCAGGGATACCTGGCACCCAACACAATAGCAGGGATACCTGGCACCCAGCACAATAGCAGGGATACCTGGCACCCAACACAATAGCAGGGATACCTGACACCCAGCACAATAGCAGGGATACCTGGCACCCAACACAATAGCAGGGATACCTGACACCCAGCATAATAGCTGGTATTCCTGGCACCCAGTGCAATATCAGGGATACCTGGCACCCAACACAATAGCTGGGATACCTGGCAATCAACGCAATATCAGGGATACCTGGCACCCAACGCAATATCAGGGATACCTGGCACCCAACACAATATCAGGGATACCTTGCACCCAACATAATAGCAGGGATACCCGGCACCCAACACAATAGCGGAGATATCTGGCACCCAACACAATAGTAGGGATACTTGGCACCCAACACAATAGCAGTGATACCTGGCACCCATCACAACAGCAGGGATACCTGGGACCGAACACAATAGCAGGGATACCTGACACCCATCACAATATCAGGGGTACCTGGCACCCAACGCAATATCAGGCATACCTGGCACTCAATGCAATATCAGGAATACCTGGTACCCAACATAATAGCAGGGATACCTGACACCTGTTATCCCTGTCATATTCAGTATCTGTTTCCTAAGGTTTAGATACGCGTTTGGCACACAGTAAAGCTATTACTGTTGTGGTTAGGGCTTTCAAAGTTGGTTCGTTGACGGGAATTTCAAACCTGTCAACTACACGAGGGGTCATTAAAGTTGCATGTTGCCTGTTCACCACCAGTCAAGAATACTTTAATGCCTAAAACAGGGTCTGAAATATACTCTCAGTGTATATATATATTGAGATATACATCTCTCATTATATATACATGGGATATATGTGGATATTGATTGCGATGTACACCTCTCAGTGTATACATTGATATATATATCTCTCAGGGTATATACATTGAGATATAAACCTTTTAGTGTATACATTAATATACACATCTCAGTGTATACACTGAAATATATACCTCTCAGTGTATACATATTGACATATACATGTCTCATTGCATGTACCCTTATGTATCCAGAATGTGTGTGTGTGTGTGTGTGTGTGGTGTGTGTGTGTGTGTGTGTGTGTGTGTGTGTGTATGTTTACAGGTGGTTGACAACTGCCTGCTGTCTCGTTGGTTATATTCACTGCTTATCATTGTTCCTCTGATATATTTAACGTAAATAGCCATATCGTGACTGTAAAACTCTTGTAGGGTATAAAACGTAGTTTTATACCCTACGTGATGGTTTGTGACTTAAGGTTTGGGGTGTATTTGTGTCTCTGAACGGTAGGGTATACAAGGAAGGGAGGGTTGCCCGCTGCTATAGTCTGCCCATTATTGGTGTGGCTGGGACCTTAGTGTGAGGGAGACAGCCGTGAGGGAGACAGCCGTGAGGAAGACAGCCGTGAGGAAGACAGCCGTGAGGAAGACAGCCGTGAGGAAGACAGCCGTAAGTAAGCCCTTCCTTTGCTTGGGTATTTGCAGTTAGTACCCGAGACTGTGTAGTTAGCGCCTGAATCTTGCACGACTCCTCGCTTGTTTGAACCGGTAGTTACGCCTCGGAGATAATTCATTATACAGCAGTGTTAACGTAGCAGTTATTCTCTCGTTAATCTGCGGGAAGTATTTACTGCCGACAAGTTTATTTTAGTTAATTTCTGTTATTAATTGTAACTAAAAAATACAGCTAATTGTTTTAAATTAGTCTCAAATTCATAGTGATCTTTTGTTAGTGTAACATCCCTAGTTACGTAATTATACGGTTTAGCACCAGAGCACCCAGAGTAATAGCAGGGATACCTGGCCCCAACACAATAGCAGGAATACCTGACCCCAACACAATAGCAGGGATACCTAGCACCCAACGTAATAACAGGGATACCTGGCCCCAACACAATAGCAGGGATACCTGGCCCCAACACAATAGCAGGAATACCTGGCCCCAACACAATAGCAGGGATACCTGGCCCCAACACAATAGCAGGGATACCTAGCACCCAACGTAATAACAGGGATACTTGGCCCCAACACAATACCAGGGATACCTGGCCCCAACACAATAGCAGGAATACCTGGCCCCAACACAATAGCAGGGATACCTGGCCCCAACACAATAGCAGGGATACCTAGCACCCAACGTAATAACAGGGATACCTGGCCCCAACACAATAGCAGGGATACCTGGCCCCAACACAATAGCAGGAATACCTGGCCCCAACACAATAGCAGGGATACCTGGCCCCAACACAATAGCAGGGATACCTAGCACCCAACGTAATAACAGGGATACCTGGTACCCAACACAATAGCAGGGATACCTGGCCCCAACACAATAGCAGGAACACCTGGCCCCATCCCAATAGCAGGGATACCTGGCCCCAACACAATAGCAGGGATACCTAGCACCCAACGTAATAACAGGGATACCTGGTACCCAACACAATTATAGGGATACCTGGCACCCAACAATTTTTATTCCTTATTTCACCTGTGCCTCTGAACCCATCCCATGGCACTACCCTATTATTATTTATTAATGAATGATTATTAATTTCTTAGTTTAGCACTAGTTTTGATTGAATAATTACTTTCTATTAATGTGTTAATCACATTAGTTATATTACTATATCATAATTAGGATTTTTGTTTTTCAGTGAAGGGGTAAACCCGTGCGGGGTCCTGCAGCGCCAGGAGTAGTGGAGGATCGACCCTCCGTTCACAGATCTCGCTACCTTGTGAACTTCTACCCGGTGGAACACACTTAGGAAGACACTTAAGAGGTTAAGTGTATTTTTTTTTTCCTTCAAGTGTAAACTCGTCCAGGTTATGTAGTACTTATCCCTCAATATTTATCTCTTTGCTAATTTATTTGTTTTCTAGTTTAGTCAATGAGTTATTCTCTAATTTATTCAATAATATATTCACTGTTTTCTTTATTCCATAATTTATTAGTTTTTCACTGTTTTTACTAGATTGTTCAGTGATTGTTATTGTCTGAGAACAATCCCAGGATAACACTTTAAGGTGTAACAGTGAAGACTGTCAGTACACTGACGGTACTCTTTGTTCATGTTCCGTCTTCGTGGTTCATCTGTGTTGAACTGAACCAGCCGCTGGTGAGCGAAACGTTCACATAGAGACCTAGGTGTTGCTCTCGGACGACTATATAAGAAAGACACTTATAAGGTAGTTGGGGTGTATATTAACGAGACGTTTCGCCAAACCAGTGGCTTTATCAGTACAGGATATGGTAAACACTATCGTGGGTGAGGGGCTGGAGGGTGGAGCTGTGTGACTGCTGTGTTCTGCTTCCCAAGGATTTTTTGGGTAAGAGTTTTCCGGAATCTTAAAACTACCCCGTGTTTTGAGCGATGGTGTTGGAAGTAGTGATGAGAATGGATTGTAAACAGCACGTGAGATACAAGTCAGATTCCTTAATGGCAAGCATGGCGTGTTTATGCTCATTGATTCGTTGTTTCGTTGTTTGAGGCCTGTCTTTCTACATGTATACTTCCTCACATACCCTACTTAGGATGGTATGAATACCGGCGTTAAATGTTCGGTTTTCCGTATACCTCTTTAATAGATCCTTGGTGGTGTTGGAAGTCATTCTAGCTGTACGGGTCATTAAATAATATGTGTGTAGACGTTCCCAGAAACTTATCCCTCTGAGAGAACTGGTCATTCCTGTTTGAAAGATATTAACAGCTTTCTACAGTCGTCGATGAAATGTTCTGAGTAGTGAAATTTGGAAAAGGTCTAGTGTACGTAAGTGCATTCGTCTTCTAGGAAGGCAGGGATCGAGATACAAAGGTTCTCAATCAAAAGCCTGTGATGACTCGTTAATACATGCATTATTGTATGGTGTGGTTGATCTTCCCTTCTCACAGGGTTTCTGCAGACTCTGAAATCGAGTTTTTGGCCATTCATGCACAGTGAAACATCAAGGAAGGCTAGGTAATTATGTTTTTCCACCTCGATAGTCAATTTGATGGATTGTTCAGCGGAGCTCGTGTTGATAAGTGTGGTAGTGTCCAGAAGTCTACGAGCTATTATCAGGATGTTAGTCAAGTAACTTAGTCAGGGTTTGTCTATAGGGATGTAAGGCCTCGATCCTTTCCCCTGAGACCGTGGTGACTCCATACGACTGTACAGACACCATAAGAGAAACTGCTAAAATTGATACACGTCTCCAATGTGTCGGCGAAATCGCTGGTCGGTATAGGAAGGTCAAGGTCGTCCCATACTGTCAGGCGAAGGAAATCAATAGGTTTAGTAGTGGAAAGACTGGTGATCATGAAGATCACCAGTGTGTTTGAGCTGAACAGAACTGATTGTACTAAAGAATTTAGACAGGCGCTTTGCAAAATTTCCTACCAGCTTGTGTGTAGCACCACTAATTCCCGAGAACCATATATATGTCGTGCCGAATAGGTAAAACTTGCAATTTTGTATTAAATAGCAACGCTCTTTCTGCCGAATAAGGCAAGCGAAAATTTGTGTATGCAATAATTTCGAACAAATTATTCTGAACCTAACGAAAAAAATTATATTTCATTGTTTATTATTAAATCATTGTAAACTTGTTAGTTGATCAATTTTACCTATTCGGCACGATATATATATATATATATATATATATATATATATATATATATATATATATATATATATATATATATATTTGTAGGAACAATGTCCCCTCCTCGGCACCAAAGCAATATATTAATGAGAGTGAGTGTCAACTCCTTGTCGCTGGTTGGTGAAGATATAAGACAGACGAGAATTTGTGTTAAATGAAATTAATTTTATTGCCTCGGTGAGTTTATACCTGAGACACATTGCTGTCGAGTGATAATGTTTGAAGTGTTGGGAAGAAGTTGCGTGTGCCTGGTGACCCTCTGTCACAGTGTTGGCTACAGGAAACTCACTGCTGCTTCAACCACTCTGCAACACACGAGAAACACTAATGCAGTGTGGAATACTCTACACCTGACACTATTAAACTGTAGTAATGTGCGTGTTTGCTGTTTTTTATCAGACAAAAACTTTGCTCTTTTTTTAACAAAGTTTTCTCAGTTCGGCAGATAATACGGGAATTATTTTCTTTTGGTTTATAGTTTATGTACCTTCAGGGTGTTGATCTACAGCTCTTGTACCCGGGCTGGGGTTACGGTGTTGGGGGATGGGGATGAGATACAGGGAGTTGAGGTTATGGGACACGAGAGGATAAACCTCACGAAAATCGTGGACCCACCGAAACTCATAACCTGTAAACAAAACCCGAAATTCCATACTGCACTAAAGTATCTTATTTGTTCCCGTTTGTCGGCATTCACACAGCACTCCAGTTACAGCAATTTGGTGACGTTGCTTTTAGCGTGTGGAGTGAACGTGCCTTCGGCATGTCAACAAGTGAGTTGCCGTGAGAGAACAAGTACAAGGGTGTACTGGAGGTAGGTCTTCTTTAAACCGTGGCTGCTGGGGGTGAGCAAGGCGGCTTGGCCAGGCGAGAAAGGAGCACCAATTAACGGTCTGGCAAAAGTATTGGATCCTCTCCGTAAGAGTGTTGGATCAAGATAAATGGGAGAAACAAGTGACAATCGACAGCTTGGAAATAGTCTCAGATCCTCTCTAAATTAGTCGCAAGCTTATATTGGCTTTCCTTAAGATATCGTCCAGGTTCCTCAATTAATCGCTGGGCCCATGTAAACCGCCTTTTTTAAAGTTGCGAGCGAAACGATCTGGAGATGGGGCGAGGCCGATGGGGTGTTGGGGGGAGGGTGGGGAGGAAGAGGGTTCGTTTGTTTGTGTGTATGTATATATAATATATAAAGAAAATGAAGCGGGAAGAGTTAATTGAGACAAATGAAGAACAAATCTGGTGAAGTCAGCAAAGGTTGTCTGAGAAACACTGTATCTCACAATGGACAGCAACAACACTAACACCAACACAGCAACAACACTAACACCAACACAGCAACAACACTAACACCAACACAGCAACAACACTAACACCAACACTAGCAACACAGCAACAACACTAGCAACAACATTAGCAACACAGCAACAACACTAGCAACAACATTAGCAACACAGCAACAACACTAGCAACAACACTAGCAACACAGCAACAACACTAGCAACAACATTAGCAACACAGCAACAATAACAATAGCAACAACATTAGCAACACTAGCAACACAGCAACAACACTAGCAACACAGCAACAATAGCAACAACACTAGCAACACAGCAACAACACTAGCAACACAGCAACAACACTAGCAACACAGCAACAATAGCAACAACACTAGCAACAGAGCAACAACACTAGCAACACAGCAACAACACTAGCAACACAGCAACAATAGCAACACAGCAACAACACTAGCAACACAGCAACAATAGCAACACAGCAACAACACTAGCAACACAGCAACAATAGCAACACAGCAACAACACTAGCAACACAGCAACAACACTAGCAACACAGCAACAATAGCAACAACACTAGCAACACAGCAACAACACTACCAACACAGCAACAACACTAGCAACACAGCAACAACACTAGCAACACAGCAACAATAGCAACAACACTAGCAACACAGCAACAACACTAGCAACACAGCAACAACACTAGCAACACAGCAACAATAGCAACAACACTAGCAACAGAGCAACAACACTAGCAACACAGCAACAACACTAGCAACACAGCAACAATAGCAACAACACTAGCAACACAGCAACAATACTAGCAACAATAGCAACAACACTAGCAACACAGCAACAACACTAGCAACACAGCAACAACACTAGCAACACAGCAACAATAGCAACAACACTAGCAACACAGCAAAAACACTAGCAACAACACTAGCAACAGAGCAACAACACTAGCAACACAGCAACAACACTAGCAACACAGCAACAATAGCAGCAACACTAACAACACAGCAACAACACTAGCAACAACACTAGCAACACAGCAACAATATCAACACTTTACTGGTGCATCATTTCCCAATTAATATGACAACTAGATGTATCTCGGCCGCTGTGCGATCCGAGAAAGGTATCCCTGTATTGCACTACCCTAGTCCCCTCTACCCCTGTACAAGGAAAAAAATAATGCAGTGTGTGGTATAAGTTTCAAATATAATTAAATATTAGATTTGAAGATTTCAAGCGAATCAGAGTTGGTATTCACAAGTAATAACATGGACACTAATATCTCAATTTCTTAAAAAAATGACAAATCAGGTCATTAACAGCCCAAGATTTATTGAAACCTTCCACTAACAAACGCAAGTTTGAAGACAACCTGAAGAAGCATTCTCTTGTTATCTTACCCCTCAAGGAAGGTTCCTTGATGTTGGTGAGGGGCTCTTGATTTAGGGAATTGGATCTGTGCTCCAGTTCCCCGAATTAAGCCTGAATGCCTTCCACATCCCCCCCCCCAGGCGCTGTATAATCCTCCGGGTTTAGCGCTTCCCCCTTGATTATAATAATAATTTTGTTATCTTAGAGAGACCGATATCCTGACATACACACCACCCACCAACACAGTTTAAATCAGGTCAGTATTTGCTTCAAGTCGTCATGGTTGACGGGTGACGGAAATGAGCTCAGGAAAACCAGTGTTTAAAATTTTCCCAATTTCTTTGATAAATAAAATGCGAAGTGGCAGTAACATTGACCAAAATCAATCCAAACTTTTCCATGAGATTTGCCAGCATATATTTTGTCTGCATTGTTTGTTTTCGTAAATTTA